ATATATATATATATATATGATAATTGTATACATTTAGTGCATTACTTTTTTTTACTAAAACAATTTGTTTAATTCATTTAACGGGCAATTATTATACAGCACCATGCATGTTCCATTTCTTTAATCCAATGCCGACACTGGAATTCCTATCGCCTGAAGTGTGATATCATGTAAATGTACAACATGATATCACAATCCACACCGAATTAAAGCCTGAGAATAAAAATAAAGCCTATACCGAAACCACCATAGCTTATTAATTTTGCTAGAATATGTACTACATGGTGTCACAGCATCTCTTTTGAATTTTGATAACCCAATGCTACTTTTCTGTGTAAGCTTCCCTTCCGTTAAATGTATATCTAGGAAACGTAAAGGATCATCCTAAACTAAATTCATCATTAAAAACCTATATTTGTTATCTGTATACACCCTCCCTGGTTTTAACATATGGGATAATCTGAATAAAAATTAATTAAATTTTCTGAAAGAAAATAGTCATTAAAAATTTATATTGTTACACACAATATCCAAATTATAAAATTATGTATACACTCTTGCATATTCTGTTGCTCATTCTCCCCTGGAAGTGACACTAATTAAACATTTTGGACAATTGTTTAATCAAGGTTTGTTTCCATAATTTTATTGGAGGTGGAAGAAACGTCATTCCTACTTAATTTATACAAAAGGTTACGAGAGTGTAAGCAATTGTTCTAAGGCAAAGGGATTATTCAAGATGAAAGAGTTAAGACCAAGCATAACCATGACAAAGTTCTAGTAGCATGCCTCATATGCTTAGATCATAAACCTAATCCACTATAGAACTTTTTCTCTTTCGAATACATTTATTGTAAAATCAGTGTTACATTTCATGTTTCAAGTATATAAGTGAGTACCATTTCTGATACTTATTCACCCTAGAAAGAAGAATCTAATTTGCAAAGAAAATGAAGGCAAGTGTAGTTGAGTCTGGAGAAATTTCAAAAGGGGCATCCCCAAGAAAAGGGTTGATCAGAGGGCTCTCGATAGTGGACTTCATTTTGAGAATTGTTGCAGCTACTTCCACACTGGGAAGTGCATTGAGTATGGGAACAACTAGGGAAACACTTCCATTTACCACACAGTTTGTAAAATTCAGAGCTGTGTTTAAGGACCTTCCTACATTTGTGTAAGTGCTCATTCTTATATAAATGCCTTAAAAAATAATATTCTTTTACTAGGACAATGTGATCAAAAGAAAAGTTGACAATGATAGTGTGAAATATGTGATTCCAGGTATTTTGTGACCTCCAATTCTATTGTATGTGTCTACCTAGTTCTTTCACTGGCCCTGTCCTTTTTCCACATAGTAAGGAATAAAGCAGTAAAGAGCAGGGTTCTCCTGGTCTTTCTTGACTCGGTAAACACACTCATTCTTCTTTAATTTACAAGCCATAGAATGTAATTCCAAATTTAGGCACTAATTTGGTTAATGAAAAAGGTTTTGTTTAATGTGTGAACGTTTTTTCCTCTTTAATATGTTCGCTATTTTGTTATGTTAGGCTTATTCTTTTAAATTATTATGTTACATTTTGTCCTGAGATATGAAGGTTGATTTGAAGTTTACAAGATCGACTTTCAGTGTTCAAATAATGTTTGGTCAGAGCAAGCTACATTAGATTATTCTTTAGTTATCATGTTTGAGATATTGCGTGAATTAAGTGCATGAACCAAAAAAATTACTGTTACATTCTTTCTTTCTTAGGAGAAAATTGCCTGCAAAGATGAACTTCAATAACATTGAACTCCTAATGTTGTTAGATGTTTTAGTACCAAATGTTTCTGATGAAGTTTAGGTTGAACTTTTTAAGGTTATGTTTGGTCTTCTCACAACTGGAGCCTCAGCAGCCGCAGCAATAGTCTATATAGCACACTATGGCAACTCAAGTGCCAATTGGTTTCCCTTCTGCCGACAATACAACAACTTCTGTGAACGTATTTCTGGTTCACTCATTGGCTCCTTCATTGCAGTAGTTATCTTCATCATACTTATTCTCATGTCAGCAATATCAATAAGCAAACATTGATAAAGTGTAATGGTACAGACTGTTATGTCCATATGTATGTGAACACATCACCTTGTTCTAATTTTTCCTTTTTAATATATTTTTCATGAATTTCAGTACCTTCTTGTCGCGTCACATTGGAACAGCACAATATATACCTCTTAATTTGTTTAGTTGACATTGGTTTGGTTGAAGAAAAGATGGACATGGAGAGCAAGTTGTGTTTGTCTTCTAGCTTTGAATGTATATCTTTCAATAATTACGAGTTTTTAGTGACAAATGTACTATGTAAGAGCAATTGTATTGGAGGTGATTGAGTGGTGCTAAACTAGAACTCTTAATTAAGCATGTACACATGTTTATCAAGTCTTGTATGTTGTAGTAAGTGCTTAGCAATCACTCATGAAGCTACAGGTAATTAAGCATAGATGTTTAAATAATTTTGTGGACAATGTGTATGTATTTTTATGAAATGCTAGGATGCGATATTACTCGGGAGACTCATTTAGTAAAAAAAAAATTGTTAGGGTGTTGATTAATTTGTAAAATGTAAAAATGATTGATGTGTAGTTATAGACTTGGGAGGTATAAAAGAGGGAGAGAGATGAGCTTAAAATGCTAAGTTGTTAAATGCGTTATGCTATTGACTCGGAATGAATCAATTTGAGAGACAAATCGAAATAATCTAGAATTGAGTTGGACCGGTATAAACCAATAGTCATACAGGTTTGATAGCTTATAAATTCTGTAAAAAACAGAGAATTTTTTTTATGGGATATGAACGAGTCCTTATAATTATTGTAAATTAGAGTGTTTGATAAAGGATTAAACCTAAGGACCTTCGCTATCAAATTCATCATTTAAACTACCAACTTATTTTTTTTGGTTTATGATATGAGTAATTGAGTATTATATTATACTAATAGAAAAAAGAAGACACTTTGTCATTTAAACTACCAAGTTCTTGATTTATGATATGAGTATTATATTATACTAATAGAAAAGGAAGGCACTTGTGCTTTTAATACAAAAAGAATTTTTTTTAATTACTTGATGAGTATTTTGTTTTGGTAATGTATGTTAATTTTATAGTAATTAATTAAAAATAAAATTAGAAATAAACTATGGACATAAAAAAAAGTGATATCTTTTTAATTATTGGTCAAGATAGGACACTATTGCATGAATTAACTCTCTCTTTTTTTTCTTTCAAAATTCTTATTTTTATTTTAAATTTACTTTAAAATTAATAAATTATATAATTTATTATTTAGTATACTTTCTATATAATTTTATATTTTCTGTTTAACAGGGGTAAATTGTTACAGTCATTTTTATCTTTCATTTTCTTTTTAATTCCATTTCCTTCTCATATATTTAACACATCACTTATATTATATTATTTAATTTAGGGTTAAATATGTTTTTATTCTTCAAAGATTGACTCTATTTAGTTTTATTCTCTCAAAAAGTTTTTTGATTTTATTTCCCCAAATTTATATAACACCTATATTTAATCTCTTTATAAATACTGTTAACTTTTGTTTGTAAAATAGGTCATTTCATCATTTAAATCACTATAAGTTTTAATGACATAGAAATTTTTAATTTAAAATATTAATTATTTTAGGATTAAGTTAAGTTTTAAGATAAAACTAATTTTACACTTAAAATTTTTCATTATTAACTCTTAGACCAAACATGGAGATTACATAAGTGCTCTCATCTTTAGTGGAGGAAGCCAAAGGCCTCCTATTTTTGTAAAGCAACACATTAAAGCTTGGGGAATGAAAAGAATGAGCTTTGTTTATAATAATTCACACATTGAGAATGTTGCGAGTTGTTGAGGCTGAAAGAGTGGTGCCAAAAATTGGGAATTTAGAACTTAGAGGGTTGCTGGTGAAGCATTAAATTGAACATTTATGGACATGGTGATGGTGGTGTAAAGAAAAACTTGTTTTGAGTTTATAAGAAGATTTTATTAGAGATTGGTGGGAGACTCTTTGTTCAAGTAGAAAATGAATTATTGGAACCTTCACACCTGCGTCTGGTAATACAAAAATTTAAGTGTAAAATTAGTTTTTATCATAAAACTTAACTTAATCCTAAAATAATTAATATTTCAAATTAAAAAAAATTATGTGAGTAAAACTAATCGTGATTTGCATGCGAAGGTGGCCTATTTTAATAGCAAAAGTTAACCGCATTTAAAAAGGGTTAAAAATAGGTAGTATATAAATTTAGAGGACTAAAATCAAAGAAATATTTTTAAGGGATTAAAATCAAAAAGAGTAAATTTTTGGAAGACCAAAAACATATTTAACCCTTTATTTTACTTATTTTATTTTACATTTTATGTTTATATTTGTCAGAAGAAAAAAATACATTTAATAAAATTATAAATTAATAAAATAAAATAAATAATATAGAATTGTTTAATTTATTTTTCGTATAATAAATAATATAAGTTTTATCATATTAAATTAAATAATATAATAGTAGTGCTATATTAAAATAAAATTGTATTTTCCTATTGTACCAGAAAAGATATTTTTTAAAAATTAGAAGAAAATGAAGAAAGATAAAAATAATTATATATTTATATTTATTGTATAAAAATATATTGAATTATAAATTATATAATATATTTATTAAAAATATTTTGTTTAAGTTTATTAATTATATAAATTTATTATTTATTAATCTTAGACTATATTTAGCATTAATTAAATAAGAATTTTAAAAAAGAAATTAAGTCATTTAGGATTGTTATATAATATACTTGTATCTGCACGAGGGTACGTCGATAATTTCGCTACTTCTCCTACATCTTTGTCTGCCATGTGTTTGTCCAAGGGGAAATTGGGGTATCTACAAAAGGTACTCCAACGTTCAAGTTAGTTCTCGGGGTCAGAGAGATCAATACTAATCAATTATGGTAATTATGAAAACATACATTTTTCATCGCTAATCACACGGCTTAGGTCCATGAGTGGGCCCATGATAAGATCCATTAGTGGTAATAACATCTACGGTAGGGGTGTTCAAAAAAACCAAAAGAACCGAACTGAATTTAAAACCAGACTGAACCACTTTAAAAAAACAGAACCAATTATAATAAAATTGAACCGGATTTAATTTTTAAAATAAAACTTAAAAACTGAACCTATTTTTTTTAAAAGGTTTGGTTCACTAAAAAATATATTTGGATTATGCCTCAGAGAAGGAACACGTGCAGTTGCTTAGGACTCTCATACTCACTTTGTCTCTCACACTCTCTCTGTCTCTCAGACTCTCGATCTCTCATGACAAAGTCGATTGTCGACACTATCTCCGTGTCTCGCAATCTCGCACTTGCACCACCCATTCTCAATCGTTGGTAATGGTAGTACCCAAAGCCCCAAATTGCCAAGTGAAATCAAAGGAAGAACCCTAATATTTGGTGTAGTTTCACAAGTTCAAGGAGGTTAGCTTTAGTTTCCTTTTCTGTCCAAACCCTAGTTTTTGTTGTACGTAGCTTTTGGGTTTTAATTATCTTCTGTTACTTTGATTAGCTTTTGGGTTTTAATCTAGTTTTTGTTCAAGGAGGATATTTGTCTGTTGTGAACAGTAACTGCTGGTATATGGATATTTAAATTTTTCGGTTCTATGAAGGAGTTTTATTAATGTGTTATTGTGATTAAATTTATTGTTATTCGATCTATAGATCTTCAAGACAGCTACATCAATCAATGGCTGATCAAGATGGAATTTTGCCCTTTGAGACAACAAATCATTTAGTTTCTGCTCCACCTACTACTATCTCTAACACAAGTAGAATGCCACCTCCTCGTAGTTTTGATTCACGTAAAAATTGATCTAAAGTATGTGATCATTTAATTAACGAATCCAATGAAGATAAGATAGCTAAATGCAACTATTGTGATAGGTTGATCAAATTTGAAAATGGAACAAGGGCAATGTGAGCTCATCTACGTAGATGCCAAAATAACCCAGATAAAGAAGCAAGAAAGAAACAAAAGTCAAATTCATCCACAAATGTTGTTTCTTCTCCTTCCTTGGCTAGGCCTAAAATTGACCAAGAAACATTTTGGAATGCACTGGTCAAAATGTTCATAGCAACAGAACTTGTAACGACCCGTCGTGGTCCCTACACTTAGTGGAATCCCACTACTACTAGTGAACTAAGAGAAATATTAAGTTGGATAACTCATACATACAGGTATAGATAAGAATAAAATGACTAAAAAAAATGAAGATTGTCCTAAAACCCTTGAAGAGAGAACACGCATGAATAGGGTGCCATATGCTAGTGCAGTGGGAGCTATCATGTACATAATGACTTGTACACGTCCTGACGTCGCTTTTGCACCAGGAGTAGTTAGTCGATATCAAGCAAACCCTGGTGAGGAAAATTGGAAAGTGGTTAAGACCATTCTTAAGTACTTAAGAAGAACTCAAGATCAATTCCTCATTTATGGTGGCACTGAACTAATGTTGAAAGGCTATACCGATGCAAGCTTTGCATCGGATAAAGATGACAGTAAATCTATTTCAGGTTATGTTTTCACCTTATATGGTGGTGCAGTGAGTTGGAAAAGTTCCAAGCAAGCTACGGTTGCAGATTCAACAACTGAAGCAGAGTATATAGCTGCAAGTGATGCTGCTAAAGAAGCGGTTTGGATGAAGAAATTTATAACTGAGCTTGGTGTGGTTCCTTCAATAGAAGAACCCATTTCGCTATTGTGTAATAATAATGGAGCTATTGCTCAAGCAAAAGAGCCGAGATCACATCAAAAATCTAAACACATCTTGAGAAGATATCAATTGATTAGAGAAAATTGAACGTGGTGACGTTAAGATTTTAAAGGTAGATGGAAAGGAGAATGCAGCAAATCCATTCACCAAGGCACTTGGCATCAAGGAGTTTGATAAACATAAGTGGGAGGTTTGAATGAAGTACATGACAGATTGGCTCTAGGGCAAGTGGGAGATTGTTGGGAATAAGATGTATGCCCAAGATCCAATCTATCTTATATGCATTAATAAGATTGTACTTTATTTTCATGTTTATTGATTATGAGAAATAATTAATATGATAAAGTCCTTGATTAAAATTAAAGACTTCTTTTTTTATAATAGAGATTATAATAATGAGAAAAACAAGTCCTTTTTAATTTTAATCTAAATTGTTCTTGATCGTAGGATTATTGAGGATAGGACATCATTAATCCACATAGATCAATATATGTGTAATAGTCTTTATTGGATAGAGATTAATAGATCTCATTTATTAAATTACTCATATAAATAGTGCATATAGGGATATGACTATTGAACAGACTCTATAAAGGAGAATTCTTAATGGTTATGTATTACCTTAAAATTTTGTCAATAGGAAATTCTTAAGAAGAAATATATAATTTCCTTAGACTTGAGATTATCATAATAATTAACAAGATATTTATTATACTTTGATTTCGGACACCTA